GATCCCTTCCGCAGCGGGGGGGGCGTCCCGGGGCAACTCCCGGGGGGTGGTCCCGCCGGGTGGTCTCGGGGGGTGGTCCTGGGGGGTGGTCCCGGGGGGTGCCCTGGGGGCCGTGGGGCTCCTGTTATTGTTTTGCCGATCCCGAATATGTGGCGGAGGGTCCCCGGGACCCCCCCAAGAAACGGGGGGAGAGAGCCTCTCCTCCCTTCCCCCCAGCGTCCCCGCTTTGCTCCCCCTTCCAAGCGTTCCATGCTCCCCCTGTCCACAGGAGGGAGCCCCCCCCCACGGGCCAGTCCCCCCCTCCACAGGGGGGAGCGACCCCCCTTGGTCGTCGTCGTCGTCGTCGTCGCCGCCGCCGCCGCCGTCGTCGTTCAGGGTCGGCGGCACCGGCAGCAAGGCCTCTCCAGTATTCAATTCGAAGCTACGCAAGCCAGTTTAGCCAAACACATGCAAGGCTATGAATGCAATGCAAAGCAAAGGAAAGAGATGCTCATAAGTGCAAGGTGGATCACGAAACAATGCAATTGCACATGCAACGGAAAGCAGCCCAGTGGAATGCAATGCAATACAATGCACGATAAGACAAAAGACCGAGAGAGTCCGAGGCGCCACGGAACCCAGAGATCCCAGGGACGAGCCCCCCTAGTTCTCCGAGAGAGGCTAAGTGGGGCCCAAGCGTGGCCCCGAAAGAGCTCCAAGCAGGCTCCAGAACGAAGCACAGGAGGGTCCCAAGAGGCGCCCCAAGAAAGCCCGAAGATAACGACAGAAAGAGAGGGTCCAAGGAAGTGCCTCCTCAGCGCGACGAAAAAACGCAGAGGTCCACAATGAGCCCCAAGAAGGGCGTTCTCAACAGCCCCATCCCTTGCGAAGGTCACAGCTCCACTGAAGCAGTGACCCACAACTGGCTTGAGCTCGAGGTAAAAAAAAATACCGATCATGCGGATGGAAGCGAGACCTACGGCCCCAGATGAAGGCGGGGTTCACATGGCGCCCCCCCCTCAATTTCGGCACGGCACTCACACGGATCTTGTCCCCCTGGGAGCTCCTCTTTCGGGTCCAGGGACAAAGTTCACACGGCGTCGCTCCGTCCATCCCGGCACACCCCACACACGACTCGTGCCCCAGAGGGATGTCGTTTCACGTGCGGCCTTAGTGTGGGGATTCGCATAACGTCACGTCCCCCCCCCACGCGTATGTCGCCTGTCTCCTCACACGAATCGTATCAACAGGGAGCTCCACCGACGGTTCCAGAGCCAACGTTCGCATCCCGCCGCCCCGCCCATGGCAGTAAATACACCCCTGATCTGGATCGTGCGTTCGGGGCGTCTTCGGTGCTTCTGTGGGCCACGCTTCTGTGAGGCCTCTGAAGCCCTGAGATGGATCGTGAATCGGGAGCCTCTTGAAGCCTTTTCTGGGAGCCTCGTGCAGGACGTCGAAGCGAGACCTCCCATACGCTTACGGGTGACTACTGGGAAGCCTCCTGGGACCGTTTTGGGAGCGTTTTGGGAGTCTCTGGGGGCCTCTTGGGACCCTCTTGGGGGTGCTTTTGGGGCTCTTTGGGGCCCTCTTGGCCCGTCCAGGGGCCCACTTGGACCGTCTTGGGCGCTTGGGCCGTCTTGGGGCCCTCTTGGGCCGTCGAGGGTGCCTCCTGTGGCCCTCTTGGGGCTCCCTGGTCACTCTTTTGGGAACCTCTGGGGACCGTCGTGGGCCGTCGGGGGGCTCTCATGGGCCGTGTTTTTTTTGGCCACGACTCGTTCCCGAACAGGATGCAGCCTTCCCCAGGCGCAGCCTTCCCCGAATCCGCATGAAAAGCTCCGGTCCCCGTTTCCATCATCCTTTTTCCCTCCTCCTTCTCCTCCTCCACCATTACCTCCTCCTCCACACGCCCCTTCCTCCCCATCCTCCTCCTCTAACTCCTACCTGGCCGTCGAGCAACAGGTGTCGGCAACGACAAATTATGCTAACGGAGTTCCTCACATAAAGATGTTACGGGGTTCCATTGCTTCTTGTCTGCGCTCTGGTGGGGCCTCCCTGGAGGGGTGGGAGGGGCACGAAACCTGATGAATAATATGGTGTGCGAATACCCTGCCCGCTCTGGTGGGGCCTCCCTGGAGGGGTGGGAGGGGCACGAAACCTGATAAATAATATGGTGTACGGAAACCCTGCTCGCTCAGGCGGGGCCTCCCTGGAGGGGTGGGAGGGGCACGACACCTGATAAATAACATGGTGTGCGAATACCCTGCCCGCTCTGGTGGGGCCCCTCTGGAGGGGTGGGAGGGGCACGAAACCTAATAATAAAATATGGCGTGCGAATACCCTGCCCGCTCAGGCGGGGCCTCCCTGGAGTGGCGTGAGGGGCACGAAATCTGATAAATAATATGGTGTGCGAATACCCTGCCCGCTCTGGTGGGGCCAACCTGGAGGGGTGGGAGGGGCATGAAACCTGATAAATTATATGGTGTGCGAATACCCTGCCCGCTCTGGCGGGGCCTCCCTGGAATGTTGGGAGGAGCGCGAAACCTGATAAATAACATGGTGTGCGGATACCCTGCCCGCTCTGGTGGGGCCTCCCTGGAAGGGTGGAGGGGCACGAAACCTGATAAATAATATGGTGTGCGAATACCCTGCCCGCTCTGGTGGGGCCTCCCTGGAGGGGTGGGAGGGGCACGAAACCAGATAAATAACATGGTGTGCGAATACCCTGCTCGCTCAGGCGGGGCCTCCCTGGAGGGGTGGGAGGGGCACGAAACCTGATAAATAACATGGTGTGCGAATACCTTGCTTGCTCAGGCTGGGCCTCCCTGGAGGGGTGGGAGAGGCACGAAAACCTTATAAATAACATGGTGTGCGAATACCCTGCTCGCTCAGGCGGGGCCTCCCTGGAGGGGTGGGAGGGGCACGAAACCTGATAAATAACATGGTGTGCGAATGCCCTGCTCGCTCAGGCGGGGCCTCCCTGGAGGGGTGGGAGGGGCACGAAACCTGATAAATAACATGGTGTGCGAATACCCTGCTCGCTCAGGCGGGGCCTCCCGGATGGTGGGAGGGCACGAACTGATAAATAACATGTGTGCGAATACCCTGCTCGCAGGAGGCGGGGGCCCCTCTGTAGGGGTGGGAGGGGCACGAAACCTGATAAAAATATGGTGTACGGATACCCTGCCCGCTCTGGTGGGGCCTCCCTGGAGGGGTGGGGCGGGCACGAAACATAATAAATAACATGGTGTGCGAATACCCTGCTCGCTCAGGCGGGGCCTCCCTGGAGGGGTGGGAGGGGCACGAAACCTGATAAATAACATGGTGTGCGAATACCCTGCCCGCTCAGGCGGAGCCCCCCTGGAGGGGTGGGAGGGGCACGAAACCAGATAAATAACATGGTGTGCGAATACCCTGATCGCTCAGGCGGGGCCCCTCTGGAGGGGTGGAAGGGGCACGAAACCTGATAAATAACATGGTGTGCGAATACCCTGCCCGCTCAGGCGGGGCCTCCCTGGAGGGGTGGGAGGGGCGCGAAACCTGATAAATAACATGGTGTGCGAATACCCTGCTCGCTCAGGCGGGGCCTCCCTGGAGGGGTGGGATGGGCACGAAACCTGATAAATAACATGGTGTGAGGAAAGGATGGTATGGTATGGGATGGTGGATGCATGGTATGGTATGGTAAGGTATGGTATGGAGTGGCATGGTATTGGTATGGTATGATACAGCATGGGATGGTGGAGGAAGCGGGAGGAGGCGGAGGAGGAGGAGGAGGAGAGGATGTTCTGGGAATTATGCTAACGGAGTTCCCCACATAAAGATGTTACGGGGTTCCATTGCTTCTTGTCTGCGCTCTGGTGGGGCCTCCCTGGAAGGGTGGGAGGGGCACGAAACCTGATGAATACTATGGTGTGCGAATACCCTGCCCGCTCTGGTGGGGCCTCCCTGGAGGGGTGGGAGGGGCACGACACCTGATAAATAACATTGTGTGCGAATACCCTGCCCGCTCTGGTGGGGCCCTCCCTGGAGGGGTGGGTGGGAGGGGCAATAACGAGAGCTGATAAATAACATGGGTGTCGAATAACATGGTGTGCGAATACCCTGCTCGCTCAGGCGGGGCCTCCCTGGAGGGGTGGGAGGGGCACGAAACCTGATAAATGACATGGTGTGCGAATACCCTGCTCGCTCAGGCGGGGCCGGGCACGAAACCTGATAAATAACATGGTGTGCGAATACCCTGCTCGCTCATGCGGGGCCTCCCTGGAGGGGTGGGAGGGGCACGAAACCTGATAAATAACATGGTGTGCGAATACCCTGCTCGCTCAGGCGGGGCCTCCCTGGAGGGGTGGGAGGGGCGCGAAACCTGATAAATAACATGGTATGCGAATACCCTGCTCGCTCAGGCGGGGCCTCCCTGGAGGGGTGGGAGTGGCACGAAACCTGATAAATAACATGCTGTGAGGAAAGGCATGGTATGGTATGGGATGGTGGATGCATGGTATGGTATGGTAAGGTATGGTACGGAGTGGCATGGTATTGTTATGGTATGATACAGTATGGGATGGTCGAGGAAGCGGGAGGAGGAGGAGGAGGAGGAGAGGATCTTCTGGGAAAACAAGAACCCCACTCAGGATGTGGGGAAAAATGCTAAGCCTGCCCAGAGTTGCGCGTGCCCTCGACCGTCGAGGACCCAGTAGGGGATATGTTTGGACGTTTTCGGATCGAACTTTTTCCCCCTCCTCAACCCCCTTCCCCCTCCAAGCGGCGAGCCCACGGCGGCACAAAACCATGTTCTGGCAACGGGCGAGCGCCGACAAAGGCACACCGGCTTCCGTGCCAGCGAGTGCTTACCCGCTTGCGCCCAGAACTCCTGATCGTTCCTTGTCGTGCCTCCTACCTGGCCGTCGAGCAACAGGTGTCGGCAACGACAAAAAAATGCTAAACCTGCCCAGAATTGCGCGTGCCCTCGACCGTCGAGGACCCAGGAGGGGATATGTTTGGACGTTTTCGGATCGAACCTTTCCCCCTCCCCAAACCCCCTTCCCCCTCCAAGCGGCGAGCCCAAGGCGGCACAACAGCATGTTCCGGCAACGGGCGAGCGCCGACGAAGGCACGCCGGCTTCCGTGCCAGCGAGTGCCTACCCGCCTGCGCCCAGAACTCCTGATCGTTCCTTGTCGTGCCTCCTACCTGGCCATCGAGCAACAGGTGTCGGCAACGACAAAAAATGCTAAACCTGCCCAGAGTTGCGCGTGCCCTCGACCGTCGAGGACCCAGGAGGAGATATGTTTGGACGTTTTCGGATCGAACCTTTTCCCCCTCCCCAACCCCCTTCCCCCTCCAAGCGGCGAGCCCACGGCGGCGCAAAACCATGTTCTGGCAACGGGCGAGCGCCGACAAAGGCACGCAGGGTTCCGTGCCAGCGAGTGCCTACCCGCCTGCGCCCAGAACTCCTGATCGTTCCTTGTCGCGCCTCCTACCTGGCCGTCGAGCAACAGGTGTCGGCAACGACAAAAAATACTAAACCTGCCCAGAGTTGCGCATGCCCTCGACCGTCGAGGACCCAGGAGGGGATATGTTTGGACGTTTTCGGATCGAACCTCTTCCCCCTCCCACACACACCCCTTTCCCTTCCAAGCGGCGCGCCCAAGGCGGCGCAAAGGTAGGCACGCCGGCTTCCGTGCCAGCGAGTGCCTACCCGCCTGCGCCCAGAACTCCTGATCGTTCCTTGTCGTGCCTCCTACCTGGCCGTCGCGCAACTGTATAACAGGTGTCGGCGTCGACAAAAATTGCTAAACCTGCCACAAAGTGCCCGTGCCCTCGATCACCGAAGATCAAGGATGGAATGTGTTTCGACGTCTCGGTTATTTTGGGCCGGTTAAAAACTTTTCCTCTTTGAACTTCAATCGTTCGGTTCGTGTTCCCCCCGTCTCTCTGCCCTCGCGAACCCTTTTCCCTGTTGCTGCGCAAAGCCTTTTTGCCCGCGACACTGCGACGTCCAGAAAAGCGGACTCAGCGATTCTAGGAGAGGGTGCTCCTGGGGGTGGGCCCAGCACGGCCACTTTGGTTCACTACGCTCGCCAGGGGCTGACCCAGGGCAAGCGCAACCATGGATGCTAGCAAAGACGGACCGAACGAGGCCCCTTAAAATGATGGGTCGAGCGATGCCCTCGTGGTGCACTGCGCAAAAAGGACAAAATCCAGCACGTGGCGGCGCGAAGACGGGGGCGTGGCGAGGGGGCGGGCGTCTCCAAGACGGCAGGCAAGCTGCCGGAAGCGAGCGGGCGCGCAGGTGCGTACACCCAGACATCCAAAGGGGCGCCTTGCGTGCTCGACGCTACCTTTTTTGTTCCAAGGGTCTGGCTGGCGCGGGACCTCACGCGTTGAACCGAGTGCCGCGCCCCTCGTCCCCGGTCACCGTCTCGAGGCGATGGATCTTCCTCTCTAACGACTCATACTCTTCCCTCAGACTATCAGGTATGTCCAGTTGACGCTTTAACGACTCAGTTGACGACTCATACTCTGCCCTCATACCCGTCCCTGGCGGTATCTACAGTTGACGCTCTATTTGCTGGAAGCGCAGTCTGGCCGAATTCAGCTCCTTCTCCCGAAACCGCTTCGCCCACTCCTTAGCTTCGGCCAGTTCCGCCGTGAGGAGACACTCCTTCTCCCCCCACTTCTTGATGATGTGGAGATACTCCTCCGGACGCGGTTCTTGCAATATACTCTCGATTCGCATTCGGGTCTTCGCCCGAGTCGACTTCGCCCACTCCAACAAATTGGCCAGGTCTTCGCGCATCTCCGCTGCGTTCCGCTGCGACTCCGCGTGCCGCATGCTCAGCCGCCTTGAGGCGGCCTTAAAGTCGCCCCGCACCTCCTCGCGGAAGGCAGAGGTGGGCATGCAGCCCCCGAACTTGCAGTGCAGCTGCAGCGGGGCTCCGTCCACCACGCGCTCCACATCCAGCGCGGTGAACGGAGGTGGAAGCCACTCGCGCTCCCCGGGATACGCGCTCAGCTCCATCATCGGGGAGGCGTGGGTGATGCCGGATATGGTGAAGAGCACGTTGTTTTTCTTGCGCGCCTGCTGGTTGCAGCGCGCCTCGGAGATCGAGGCGTCGACTGTCGTGCTGGAGGGCGCCGCCCAGAAGAAACGGTCGCCAGCGGCCTTGGCTCTGAAGCCATCGACTAAGGAGCTGGGCAGGCCGCGCAGGCCGCGCGCTACAACCGCGGGCTTCTCGAGCGTCTTCGCCGAGAGCCCCGAGAAACACACCCGCCGGATCCATGCTCTCAGGCCGCCCAGGGCGCCCCGCCGGTCGCCAGCGCTGTCGAAGCAGACGCGGGAGGCCCAGTTCGCCACCTGGAAAATTTGTGGATTTCGCTTTCCGCCTACTTTCTGCCTGTGCTCGCTGTAGAACTCGTCGCGCAGGGCGGGCTCTTCCAGGCCCTCCGGCAGTTCTGGGGCGTCTTCAAAGCACAACAACCCGTCGATGTCGACGTCCTGCATGGCATGCAGAACCCAAGTGGCGATGGCCAGCAATTCGTCCTGCAAGTCCTCATTCAGTGGCCTCGCAGAGGATTTGTCGCGCAGCCGCTTGCACACCTCTGCGAGGAGCTGGATCTGCAACGGCGTCGCGTCGCCCGCAGGCCCAGTCTCCTTCAGGTTGTCGAGTAGCTCGTCCAGGATCGTACCGGGCTTCTGCGCGTATAGCTGTTCAACAAAAGTCATGAACCATGTGACCTGCGTCTCTTGGATCTCCGCCGATATCCGCGCGGCTCGGAACTTGGCGGTCAGCCCGGCGCCCGCGATCTTGCCCACAGCGTCCAGAATCCACGCATTCTGGGTCTCGATCGCCGTGACCTGCGCCATCAGCCTCTTCAGCTCATCCAGCGCGAAATCGTCTGACTGCTGCGCGCGCTCTCTGGCCTCCGCTCTTTTCCCTTCTGCCAACGCCCTCGCCTCTTCGATCTCCGACTCGAAGTCCTTGCGCAGCATCTCCAAGCGCTTCCTCGCCTGCCTCTGTCGCTCCGCCGCCGCGGTGGCCCTGGCCTGCTGCTCCAGCCTCTCCTCTGCGGCCTTCGTCGCCCTCTTCTGGCGCTCGGCTTCCGCTTTCGTCAGATCTTCTCGGATTGAGGCCTCGTCTTTGAGAAAATAAACACTGTAACTAAGGCCCGATTTCTTGCACTTCTGCAACTCATGCCAGCACGTGACGCTGTCAGTGATAGGCATGCCGTTGACCATGCTGATGCTCCAGCCTGGCCGCACGCCCAAGAATCGGGCCTGGCACGACACGCGTTCCACAATGGTAGTTCCCTGGGTCCAAACGAGACCGTGCGCGCCCATGGCGAACTCGAATTTAACGATGCCTGGCTGCAACGGCGTGTCCGACAGTTCACCTGGCATACCCGCTGATATAGGACTCTGAACCATGCGCTGTCGTGTCCGTGCGCTGCTCGCGCTTGAGCCAAAATGGCTTGAGCCAAAATGGCTACGGAGGGCTCTCATGGGCCGTGTTGGAGCTCTCTTGGGCCGTCTTGGGGCCCTCTTGGGGTCCTCTTGGATCGTCTTACGGCCGTCTTTGGGGCCTTTGGGTCCGTCTTGGGCGCTGTTAGGACCGAAGAAGCGAATATGCTTAAAACCTACGTTTTCCGAAAGGAATTTGGCTGTTTTGCCTTTTGGTGACCTTCTGGGAGGCCTCTTGGGCCGTCTTGAGGGCCTCTGAGGCCAAAAATATAGATTTCCCGCTGGTTTGTGAAAGATTCGAATTTGTCGAGGACCTTTTTCGGAAGCTTCTCGGGCACCCTTGGTGGCCTCCTGGGCTGTCTTGGAGCGCTCTTGGGGTCCTTTTGGTGCGTCTTGGAGAGCTCTTGGGCCATCTGTAAACAATCTTGGGCGGATTTAGAGCTGCTCTGAGCCTCGGGGGCGGGTCCCGGAGGGCTCCTGGGAGGGGGGCACTACCTATGTACAAGGGGGGGGGGGGCCTGCGGGTTCCTGGGGTCGGAATCCCCCATATATGTATATACATGCATACACACCTACATACATACATGCATAGATGCATTCATATACACATACATACATACACACTCACGTTCAAACATACATACATACATACATACATACATACATACATACATACATACATACATACATACATACATACATACACTCATAAACCTACATACATACATACAGTCATACATCCATACATTCATGCATGCATGCATGCATGCATACCGACATACAAACCTACATACATACATACATACATACATACATACATACATACATACATACATACATACATACATGCATGCATGCATGCATATATACACATACATACATACATACATACATACATGCATCCATCCATCCATCCATCCATACATACATACATACATACATGCATAATCATACATGCATAATCATACATGTATGCATGCATACATGCGTGCATGCGTACATGTATACACACATATGCATACATACGTATACACATACACACACACATATATATATATATATATATATATATATGCATACATACATACACACAGTCAGACAGACAGACATGCATACATATATGCGCACACATCTACATACATATGTATTTGCGCATGCTCGGGGTCTGCGCGGATTTCTCGAAGGGCGCTGGACCCCGCTCTCCCGGCGCGCGGAGCGCACCAGGCGGCGGCGGATGCGCCGCCGGCGCCGCCAGGGCGGGCACAGCGGCGACCCGAGGAGTCCGCGCTGAGCTCCGACAGTTTCCGTTTGCCGTTCATGCTGCCCCTCGACTCCGAGAGGGCAGGGGCTCCGCAGAAGGGCCGGGGCCGCCGAGACCTTCCACGACACGCCTCGACAGCACTGATCTGTGTCAGGAGCTGGCTGCGTGAACTGCCAATGCATCTGCGCGTCCGGGCTTGATGCATTGAGCGCGATGTGCTTGATGCCCCCCCCGATTATTCGATGCTGGGCAGCGTAAGATCTGCCCAACCACCCGCCCCCAGAACGCGCCTCAAGCTGAATCGACATGCAGGAGGGCAAGGGGGGGGGGGGGGGAGCGACACCGACAGGGGAGGGGGCTCCAACAACGTTTGCGGTCTGTTGTGCGAGGCGGGGATTGATCCGTCACCACCGCCTGTTCTGCGAGACCTTGGCGAGCGGTGGATGTGGACATGCTTGTCCCTGGTGCAGGCACCAATCTATTCTTAGGTCGGGCCTGTCCCCCTACAGGGGGATTTTGGCCGAAACATAAAAAAGCCAAACACGCGCGCGCTTCGCGCGCGCGTAGGTTCTAGCTAGGAGGCGAGCTGGAGTCAACGAAAGTCGCAGGGAAGGGGGCAGGGGGAAGAAGGCCAGAGAGCGCTGAAGGATACAAATACTGGAACCCTCTTGTGATTTTGTGGGGGCCTCGTCCGGCCGCTCGCTGGGAGTTTGACGTAGCTTCTCGGGAGCCTCTGAACCTGTCGGGGGCCTCCTGGAAGCAGGTTCGAAGCATTTTGGGGGCCGATTTGGGGCTTCTCGGGGCCTCCTTTGGGCCTCTTTGGGGGTCTCCTGGGGCCTCTTGAGGGGCCTCCTTGGGGCCTCCTGGCGGCCTCTTGGGGCGGAAGGCTCGAGCTTGCGGTTCGTGGTCCCCCTCGGGGCCCCCTCTTGGGCCCGTCTTGGGGCCCTCTTGGGCCATCTTGGGCGCCTCTTGGGCCGTCTTGGGGCCCTCTTGGGCTGTCCTGGGGCCCTCTTGGAAGCTTCTTGGCCCGTCTTGGGGCGGTCTTGGGCGCCTCTTGGGCCGTCTTGGACGCGGTGAAAAAAAAAAGAAAAAAAAAAAAAAAAGCCCAAGAATATGCGAACATGCGAAATATACGTTTTCCCAGCGACCCCAATCGCATGCACGATTGGCACGATTTTTTGTTTCTTGGACCTCTCTTGGGTGTGCCTCTCGGACGTCTGGGCTGATTTTTGGAGCCTTTTGGCGCCTGCTGGGCGGCGTTTTTGGCGCCTCTTGGATAGGTTTTGGGCCGAAGGAAGAGTAAATAAAAAAAAATAAAAACAAAAAAAAAAAAAAACAAATAGAGGAAATATAAAAAACCGAATAAAAAAAAAGACACACAAAGAAAGAATAAAAAAAAAAAAAACCAATAAAAAAAAAAAAACAAAGAGAATAAAAGATTTTGAAAAAAAACAAAAGATTAAAAAAACAAGCCTCCTCGAGATTCGAGAGTGGCTTTCTCCTTCTGGGACCCCTCTCGAAGTCGTCTTGGGGCTCTCTTGGGTCGTCTTGGGGCCGTCCTGAACCACTCGTGCGCAGCCTTGGAGCGCTCCCGGAGGCCTCCTAGGCCGTCTTGGAGGCCTCTTGGGCCGTCTTGGACGCGGTGAAAGCCCAAGATGCGAACATGCGGAAAATATACGTTTTCCCATAGGAATGGCACGATTGTTGTTTCTTGGACCTCTCTTGGGGTGCCTCTCGGAACGTCTTGGGGTGCTTTTGGAAGCCTTTTGGCGCCTCTTGGCGGCATTTTGGCGCCTCCTGGAGCCTCTTGGGCCGGAAGCTCGGAATTCGAGGTTGGCTTTCTCCGTCTGGGACCCCTCTCGAAATCGTCTTGGGGCTCTCTTCGGCCGTCTTGGGGCCGTCCTGGGCCACTCGTGCGCAGCCTTGGAGCGCTCCCGGAGGCCTCGTAGACCGTCTCGGGCGCCTCTTGGGCCGTCTTGGACGCGGTGAAAGCCCAAGAGGCGAACATGCGAAAAATACACGTGTTCCCATAGGAATGGCACGATTTGTGCTTCTTGGGCCTCTCTTGGGCTGCCTCTCGGAACGTCTTGGAGGCTTCTGGGACCTTCTTGGTATCATGACAGGCGTCTTGGAAGGCATCTGGAGCCATCGGAGCGCGTTCCGAAGCCGCCTGCGAACGATCTTGGACGGCGTCCGGCGGTCCGACGAGCCTCCGGGCCCCCCGGGGCCCACATTTGTGGTCGGGGTCCCGGCCCCGGGCCCCCGGACCCGGTGCGCCGTTACATGTATATAAATATATGTATGTGTGTATCTGTATTCTTACATAACATGTATCTATATATGTATCAATATGTATATATATTAAAACATATATATAATATATATATATATATATATATATATATATATATATATAATTACCCACTACGACCAAATGGCCTTCAAAAAAAAAAACACAAAAAAAAAAAAAAAAAAAAAAAAAACAAAAAAAAAAAAAAAAAAAAAAAAGAAAAAAAAAAAAAAAAAAAAATAAAAAAGAAAAAACAAAAAAAAAAAAAAAAAAAAAAAAAAAAAAAAAAAAAAGAACAAAAAAAAAATAAAAAAAAAAAAAACAAAAAAAAAAAAAAGGGAAAAAAAAAAAAAAAAAAAAAACAAAAAACAGAAAAAAAAAAAAAAAAAAAAAAAAAAAAAAAAAAAAAAAAAACAATAAAAGTGTCCTCTCAAGCTCCGTCCGTGGCCTTCGTCGCGATAATAACCTCGACCTAATGCCTTCAAAAAGTGTCCTCTCAAGCTCAGCCCGTGGCCTTCGTCCGAACAGACCTGCTCCGAGGGGGCTCAAACCCGACGGGCAGGCATCCCCAAAAATGGCACTCCTCTACCACAGCTGGCTGTTTTTCTCAACCGTTAGGGGGCCAACCCGGCCGTGGCCATAAAGGACACGAAACAAATCTGTCGGCGGCTACGGCCAGTGCACGGAGGCGTTTTGCCGCATCGGGCGATTTGCAAGCCGATTCCTGCAAGACGGTCCGGAATTGTGCCGGGGCGGAATACCGAGCAGCAAGGCCCGGATTGAGCCGGATGGCCTCTACAACCGCCTTGGTGGCGTGGAGTCCGAGTGACTGCCGCGCGAAGGCCCCGAAGTCAGTGTGAAGCCCCAGGAAGTCTAGAAATTCCCGGTGGGCCGCACCGAGGTAGTGACCGAAAAAGGATTTGACCACTCTGCATCTGGCCAGGTGTTCCAGCGAGTCCGATGGTCCACGGCAGAAAGGGGAACTGGCACGACCCTGAAAAAAAAAAAAAAAAACAAAAAAAAAAAAACAAAAAAAAAAAAACAAACGACCCTGAAAGCGGTGTGCCGTGCACCAGCCGTTCAGCCACGTGGAAGGGACTACAAACCTAAGGAAAGGCGGGACTAAGGGGGCATGCTTGGAATCGCACCAGCATGCCCGTCTCACAGCGATTCCGATCGGCATCCCCGGCCGGAAGCCCCAGCGAGAAGACCAACGTCGTCGGAGTAAATGTTCAAGAACTGGAGGCCCATCGGCGGCGCGGAGGAGGTCGTGGAGGGCTGTCTGCGAGAGGTCCAAGAGATCGTTGCCGGTGAGGGAGGGCAGGGGCAGCATCGTCTGAGCATGGGCGTCGTGGAGAACCTGTACCGCAGACCGTGCATGCCAATCACTAGCCCAAGGCCACAGAGTCTGATCGTCGTGACAACGGCGTGCCTGAAGATCATGGTGAAAACCCCGCCACTCAATCTTCGGCGAGGCCCCAGTGTGGGCCTTGATGGCCAAGTTCATGTTGCGGAACCGCATAA